CCCCCCCCCCCCTCACACCCAACAGACCCTCCACAGCCTCACCCTATGCGCTGAGTCAGCGGCGTGATTGGCTCCCGCGCCACCAGGGCGGCCATGCGGGCGTCCCTGACCATCAAATTTGTGGCGCAGGTGTCCTCGTCCAGCAGCAGCAGGCGGGACCCGGCCTCTAGCGCCTCCTGGGGTTGACGACACGCGGCGTATGCATCGAGTAATCAATATATGTGTGTACACTATATTTATATACATGTATATGTATGCATATGCACATGCACGTGTGTGTGGGGGCTGGAGGAGGGTGGTTGACATGTGTGCGTGTGCGTGTGCAGGAAACGGGTTGAACGAGCGCTTTGGGGCTTGCGGGGTTGCGCGAAAGGACGCGCGCATGTGTGGATCCTCTCGCAGGCGCGCAGTGCCGAAGGACAGTGTGCGCAAGCCGCCATCCTCCCGAGAAAGGAACGCAGGGCCGCTGCGCTGCCCGCACAACACCATAGCAACCCAGCGCTCGCGGAGAGCGGCGCCGAAGGCCCCGCCCCCGCCCCATGCACCCCCTGCCCGCCGCCCGATACCCGCCTGAATGTTTGCAGCCTGGGAGGTGGACCCGCTGGCGTCGTCGCTGCGGAACGCGGCCGTGTCCCTGCCGCCGGGCAGGTCCCCTATGAAGGGGCGGATGTCCACGCCCTCCACGCGGCGGCCGTCCTCCGCCCTGATCTGGGATTTGGGGCAAGGTTTGTATCATTGAGAGAGGTAGTGTGTTGTTTGTGTGTGTGCGCGTGCTTGTGTGTGTGTGTGTGACTGCGTATGTGTGTGTGTGTATGTCTGACTGCGTGTGTGTGTTTGTGTTTGTGTGTGTGTGTGTGTGTGTGTGTGTGTGTGTGTGTGTGTGTGTGTGTGTGTGTTTGTGTGTCTGCGCAGGGTTTTGACGGTTGAGCGGGATGCTTTGAGGCATTGGGGCAGATGTGTGTACAGGTAAAGGGGCCGCAGCCCCAGGTGCGGAGAGCGACAAGGCAGAGCAAGGTTTGGAGATGCGGTGCTCCTGCTCTGAGGTGGCGGTTTCAGTCACAGGGCTGGCGCAGAACAGTGGCGCCTGCGCCTGGACGATCGGAAGCGGGGCCGCGCACAAGCGCCGGTCCAACCGCCGCAACCGCCTGCAACCGCCCGCAACCGCCGCTCGCCTTGACGCAGTCCTCCAGGGACACCACCAGCTCCCGGCCGTCACCGGGCACCTGCCGCGGGTGACGCGGCGCGGGTGACGCGGCGGGGGCGACACGGGTGACCGCGACAGGTGGACGTGGGAGATGACATCATTTGAGGGGGAGGGGGTGATCCACGGCGGGCAGCTGCGAGAGCCCGTGCTTCGCTCAACAGCCGCTGCTCAATAGGCGCTTCTCTTGCTGGGTGTTCGTCTGAAAGGAGCAACCACTGCATCTGCCACCTTTGGGGGCGTGGCGCACGATTGGTGCATCGGGCAAAGCCACTGGAAACCCCTGACAGTCCCGCGCAGCATCCGGTTTCACACATCCCACACATACTGCGTTTGTGAGCAGTCGTGTGTTTGACATGGGAACCAACAGTCGCACTGGGAGATGTGATCCCTCACCTTATTGTAGCAGCCGACCTGGATGGCGTCCAGCAGGGTGCTCTTCCCGTGAAACCCGCCCCCAACAATAAGCGTCACCCCCGCCCTCACGCCCAGCCCCCGCACCGCGCCGCGGTGGGGCGCGGCCAGGGTGACGGCGAGCGGGTCGGGGGCCGAGAAGGGGACCGCGGAGGCCGCGGGCATGGGCGCGTCGCTCGCGCCGCTGCAGGAGTTGTGTGGGGCCGGGGAGTCCAGCGCAGCAGGGGGGGGGTCAGTTTTAGCAATGGTGAAGGCACGAATCAAGGTGCAGGCGGGGCTGCAGGGTCAGATTTGATTTGTTTCCAGGCGCGAGGGTCGGGGGAAAGCGGATCTCGTGCGCGTGCCTTGCTTCTTGCTGCTCTCTGGGTCGTGACTTGCGCGCCTCAGAGCAGCCATGCACCGCAAGCCTCCCGCGCCCCCCCCCCTCTGCGGCCGCGCGCCCGCACGCGCCTGAGCCGCGGCAGCACTGAGCCGTCCCCCACGAACGCCACCAGGCCGGCCGCGGGCAGCGCCGCCCTTAGCGCCTCCGTATCCTCCACGACCTTGGGGCGTTTGGTGATCGAATGGCACATGGACGGTGGACAGGTAGTGGAGCGCGCGCGGGAGCAGGAGTCAGGCAGCAACCATAGGTGTTTCCAAGGGAAAGGGGGCAGGGGCGCAAAACGCACATTTCGATCTGCAGAGCTATGCAGCGCGAAACCGCGCCGCACTGCATCTGCAGCGGACAACGGGCGAAAAGAAGGCAGCCGCAGGAGCGGCATCCGCCAGGCTGCCTGCACAGGCACGGCGGGCCCGCGCCTCGACTGGCCGCGTCGCCCCGCGGCCGCCTGTTTTAACTTCTAACATCCACGGCTCGGGCGCCGCAGTCACCTGGATGTGGTGCCAGATGGCGGCCTGATCCTGCCGCGCGTACAGCAGCCCCTGCTCCACCCACCTTTGGGCAGCAGGACGGCAGAGGGGGGCGCGGCTCGTCGCTCAGAGGGGGGCGCGGCTCGTTGCACCCGGCTCGCTGCGCACGTGCCTGCCCTTGCCGACACGAAGCAAGCCAGCTCATTTGCCGCCGCGAGCCTGGAGCAGCGGCACGCCCATGCCGATGCAGGCCTCCAACTGGCGGGGGCGCGTGTCGCCCACCCGTTCTCGCCGCCAGGTCCCCCGCCGACTCAGCGGCCCCGCCGATTCGCCCGTGTGCACGCCCTCGCTTCCTTATGCCAAGCGCTCACCCTGGCAGGTTCTGCACCAGAATCTGCGCCGCCCACTGGCCCATGATGGAGCGGCCCTGCGCCGGCAGCCCCACAGTGAAGCGCGCCTCGAGGGTGCCGTCTGGCAGCAGCAGCACCGCGCTGCGCTCCAGCACATGCTGGCCTGCGTGTGTGTGTATGTATGTTTCAGTTTATGTGTACATGAGCATATGCATGTGTATATGTGTGTGAGTTTACATATGTGCGTGTGGGATCGCGCCTGTCATGCAGGAGGCCCCCGTCCGTGTCGGCGCACGCGTGAGCGCGTGCTTGCCGCAAAGACGCTAATTCATCGAACATAGAAGCAAGTACTTGACATTGAGACAGGCGGCAAGCAGATGAGGACCCACTTGGCGCATCCATAGAGACGTCCCCGCCTTTTGCGCCATGCCACCCCTGCTGATTCTGTATGTGCGCACGCGCATGTGTGCATGAGCACGAGGGGTGATGCACGGAAAATGTATGTGTGAGTGTTTTGAATGTGTGTGTGTGTGTGAGCGCGTATGTGCGCGCGTTTGTGCGTGTATGTGCACGCGTGCGTGTGTGCTTGTGCATATTTGTGCTTGCGTGCTCGCACGTCCAGGCATGTTTGGGTGTCTCAAGACCTGACACCAAGCTGAATCGCCCCATAAGGGATGCCGGGGGCTAAGTCTGACCATGCCCATAGGGTCGCTCCGGCGGCACTGCAGCACCGACGTAGGACTGAAGCCCCCCCACCTGCCGTGTGGCTGTGTTGGCAAGGGAAGCGAACCGCCGCGCCAGCCAGTCGCACAACGCCACTCGGCGCACGCGGCTGGACCAGAGGTGGCCGGGGAACCCGGCTACGGCGGCCGGCACGCGCACGCGCAGGCGGCTGGGGGCCGCGTAAGGGTCGCCCTGTGGGGATTGCAGCGCAAGCACTGGGCTTGGGGGGAGCTGGCGCGTCCGGAGGGCAGCACCCCCGGCTTCACCGACCAGTGGCGAACGACCTGCTGCCCAACGCGTCCCGACCGCCCGAGCGCGCTGGGGCTGCGGATGCTGCTGCGGCAGCGCTGATCGGCCGGCGGTGCTGGGGCCGGCATCCGTTTCTGCGCCACCGCTGACCGGGAATATGAGCCACCGGCGTCAAACCCACTGCCACGACGTCCATCCGCCATGCACATCGCGCTACCCCGATTTTCTCATGCCTGCTCGTATCACGAATGCTGAGTCAGCGCACTGCACTGACCAAGTATCGGCTCGGAGTGCGCTGACTCAGCGCGTGCTGACCTGGACGTGGTCGACGTGCAGCGTGAAGCTGGGGAAGGTCCAGGCGCCCTCGGTGTCGCGGTAGGCTTTGTAGCCCTTGCCGTCCAGCCGCTGAAGGGTGGCGCGCAGGGCCTGGGAGTCGCCCTTGGGGGATGAAAGGCCGCAGGGACGGGTTG